TACTGATCTGACTGCTGTGTTGTCTCCGACACCTCGAAAACCCCGCTGATACGCCCCCGCCCCCCACACCGCCGCCGCCGCCGCTGCCGCCGGTGACACTTGCGGGGGTAATGGTGACGGTGGTGGTGCGACCGGCCCTGGTCCCACCGGTGCCGCCGGCGCTGGCGCCGCTGGCAGTGGCGGCGGCGGAACCTGTGCCGGTTGGAAAAGTGCCGGCATGGCGGCGCGGTGCTCGGCGTCGATCTCCGCGGCGAGAGCCACTTGCGCCTGCCGAACCCGCTCGATGGCCTGGCGCACCTGAATCTCGCGTTCCGCCGCCGTCCGCGGCGACTTCGCAGATGGGGCGCCTGTCGTTAGCAAAAGGTAGAGTAGGTAGTAGTGGGTAGTCGTTAAGGGGGGTTGGGTTTCCGGCATGCCGTCGTCATCGACGTTGTTGGGTCGAGGACAATAGCAACCAAAAACCATGGCCAAGAGTCGGCAGTGGGAAAAGAAAAAAGAGAGGTATGTAGCGAGACCGACAGAGAAACACCATGAGACGAAAGGAAATATATCTAAGCGCCGCGGCAACAATCAACGATAAGGGCACGGTCGGCGGCGAGGGCGAGCGATAACACCACAACAACAACGACGAATAAAAAAACGCGCCACGTGTTACGTAAGACACCAAAGAGATACATCCAACAAGATGGAAGGGGAGTCAAAACCCTTTGTCCCCCCCCCCCCCCCCGCCCCCGCCGCCGCCTCACCGGGTCCCTGCATCTGCCTCAGCAGCAGCGCGAGCTCGTGCGTCATGGCCTTCTTCTTGGTGAAGACGAAAGACGATGTCTGTGACGCCATCCACGGGTACCGCTGCGCGTACATCCTCGACACCTCCGGGTCGTAGGAGCGGAAGACGTAGCTGCTCTTGCGGAGGATCTCCTTGCGCCGCCGCCGCTCGGCGTCGTCAGCGGCGGGGGGGCAGGCCATGAGGCTCTCCTGAGAGACGGGGGGACGGAGGGACGGAGGGACGGAGGGACGGAGGGAGGGAGGGTGTGTCTCGTGTACACCTTCGTGATCCTTGTCTGTTTCCACTACAACGTACGGTATTATAAAATGTCGCAGTACCAGGATGGTTCCGAGAACCGTTAACGATCGCGTACTTCGTAAGCACATGATTTCTTCCTCCCTCCAGAGACGGGTTGCAACGTTACAACAAGAAATGAGGCAATAAAAATGAAAACGAAGACGACGTCAAACATTGTACTATCAAAATAGCACACCTCCAGCGCCAGCCGGTTCTGTTTGCACAGCTTGCACACGTGCTTCGTGCCCAGCAGAAAGGCGTCTTCTAGCACGCCCGATACGCGCCGGCCTTTGGTCCACCCCTTCGACTCGACCTGTACAAAGCAGCGGTAAAACACAAACAACAACAACAACAATAACAACAACAGCAGCAGCAGCAGCAGGCTTGAGCTTTCACTTCGACGCCAATCTCGAATGGAAGCACAAGCACTTTGCCGGGGGGGTTGTATGCTGTACACAGATAAGGCGGCAGGGGTGCGAACAAGCAAAGTCCAACTACTACATAATAGTACGGAACACGCCAATGTTTTGCCGAAAAAAATGTCCTCCTGTTGCACAGCAGCGGTGAGGCCACACGTCGCCGGCGTTTCCATCTGAGAACGTGGGCAAAGAAGGCGCAACCACAACACCGCCATCCGTGGTGAACACCAGAACGATTCGTGTGCCTCGTGTTGGAAGAGTCCCATGTCGTCGGTGGTCAACAAGCACCTCCTGCGAGGTGGTGCGGCCGAAACACGCACGATATCCCTTTTCCCTCGGACCTCATCGGCGCAACGCGAAGCCGACAGCGACCCCACGAGGTTTTGGGTGACCTCCCTCCCGGCATGCTTTCCGGCGGCGAGGTGTTTACGCACCCATCCCTCCACACACGGGAAAGAAAGTCCTTGGTTACGGAGTAGACCCCTCCCCCATGTTACCGTATGCCTCGTGTCTCGGGGAGATACGCCTCCGCTCGCTGGGTGACTGCTTGCTGCGTGCGTTCTCTCCCGGCAGCAGCAGGAGAAGGACAGAAGATCCCGCGACAGCAACCACCCGGGAGCGTTCGGCATCAATCGCCGCCACCAACGAGTTCAGCAACAACAACCCCCCACAGCAAAAACAAAACACCGAGAAGATCTGCCAACGAATAGAAGTACAGTAAGATCTGCAACGTGTCACAGTTGGGGCTCCGATAGTAGAGGATACCTTACGAGAGGGGGCTCCCAGATATGAGGGTCGAAATCGGTTTGTCACAGACTCGACCCGCTCTTGTGGTGTAGTCGGGTGCCCTCTTATTCCGGAAACTTACCGGGGGCTCCGATATAAGAGGGTCGACGGCCGTTGTCACACCACCCTCATGTATCGGAGCCTCCACTGCACCGTCGACACCATATCACCGGCCATCGAGATCGGCAGATGCCAAGCCACAGAAGTTTCTCCCGCCTGCCTTTCGGCCCACCCACACCCACACAACACACAACACACAACACAAACACACCCTTTTGTGTTTTCCACCGGACTGAGACTGACGTCTTTTCGTTGGTCGGCCGGTTAGCGCGGTCGATGCTAGTTAAAAAAGACACACACACTCACACACACACACACACCTTTTGGCCGCACTGAGACTGGCGTCTTTTTCATTGATCAGCCGGCTAGCACGGCCGATACAATCAACAAACACAGACAGACAGACAGACAGACACACACACACACACCGCTTAGCCGCACTTGGACTGGCGCATTTTCATTTGGTCTGCCGGATAGCGCGGCCGAAGCTAATAACACACACACACACACACACACACACACACACCTCGCCCTCCGGCTGCCAGCCATGCCTCGGACACGGCGGCATCTTGGGCACCTTCCCTTGGTAGTACATGTGAGGCGCCTCTACGTAGATTACCGGGGCCGGAAGCCCGCCACCGCCGCCGCCGCCGCCGCTCCCTTTCGCCTCGCCCACCGGTGAAGCTCTTGCCCCACCCCCGGCCCCCGCCCCTGCCTTCACTTCCGACGCCGAGGGTCCCTTGGGGTAGAATACGCACGAGTACGCCCTGGACAGGTATCCTCTTTTACACAGCAGCTTGATCTGGGATTTCCGTATCAGCGAGGAGGGGGTGTTATCTAGGGCAGGCAATCGTTGCTTGCCTGGATCAAACAGTTTCTCGGAACCACGCACGTAGTCCTCTCGACACTACTCATGTAGATATGCGACAGCAATATGGGCGCGTCCGTGGACATCAACGTCAAATTTATGTACACTTTTGGCAAGGAGCCCTCCCTAGGCCCTACAGAAAAAATACTCCTTGACCACGCCGCCAACGTTTGGGCGCTCTTTTGACGATCCCGTTATTTCCAACCTAAGATGTGCTTGATCCCTCCATCCCTGTCCGGTTTGGCATGTCGTTTCCCATCATTCATCTCTAACTTCTGCACACGAGCGTTTTGGTAGCCGAGCTTCACGAGTTAGCATCACTACGATGGTGGTTGAAACCTGGGGAAGACCACATGGCGGAAAAGGTGTTGATGACACACGAAACCCAGCATCCGACCAGAAAAGTTTCCTCTGCGGAATACGTCGTCCATTATCGTCCAGCTCACATGAATGCAACATACCTGCTGGAGTCGTTTCTTTGCGTGAGGAGGAATGGTGGCCGAATCTCTCGAGCGGTCGCCCGTCCCCCCCTCGTCTTCCCCCTCCCCCTCCTCTCCCTCCCCTTCCCCGTCCCCGTCGTCGTCGTTGTCGTCGTCGTCGTCTTCCTTGTCCTCTTCCTCGTCTTCCCAGCAGCCCCCCATGGCGGAGCCAGATCCGTTGGCCTTTTCGGAATACGAAGGCGCACATGTCGGCGACATTTTGAACGGCTTAGGTTGGGCACACAACCGACACAACACTAGGTCGGCCAAGGTCTGAGATGAAGTAGGGATCTAACTTATCTCAAGGGACACGCAGAGTAGACAATTCTGAGGTGGTATTGGTACCATGGAGGTATACCTCCTGACCATCCCACATCTTATCCACAATAAGATGTACCCTATTCATGCCAACAGCCAGACTCCCAAACACTTCGGGTACTCCTTTGCAGCTGCGGGTGGGCGCCCCTTTTTGCCATGGGGAACGCGTCTTTAAGATGCGGCTCTGAAATCACACAAAGTCAAATACAGCATTGGAAATGACACACGCTGTTTCTTGTAGCAGTGACGGTTGACCGCGATGTCGGTCTGTCCGGCTCGAAAAGGCAAACAATCCAAAATCCAAGCACAACACATGACGACAGCGCCGCAGACCGCCTCCTGGGGCGCCGACTGATGTCAAAACACGTACGAGTACGTGCGAAGAGTTGGGGCGCTTGTGTAGGAACACAACGCAAGAGAAACATAACGGCACACGGCTATAGATACGACACACCAGCAGGATCATGTGAGAACATGCGCCACCTCAACGACTGCGGCCAGGGCAGAGAGATGTGACACGGGTGTCAACCGCCGTATGCACTAATACATGTGCGCTTATTAACGTCGCTCGAAGATACGCTCGGGCCTTGGGGCACTCCCGCCTTAACCTTAGCTTGCGCCCGTTCAACGGACGATCTTAGCACAACACGAAACCACGAAGCAACAACAATAGAAGAGAGAGACCAACAGTAGATTGTACAGAGGCGGCAAAAAAATCACTCCGCAACAACGAACTACACGACAACACAAACTATCGCGCACCAGATACGGATCTCCGCAGGCAGCCTCCCCCGCCCTCGACGCCTTTCCGTTGGAGGACTTCTTCCTCTTCTTGCCGCTCTTGGCGCCGCCGTCGGCGACGGGTTTCGACATGGCCTGGCGTTCGTGCGGCATGATGTTGACCCGGAGGTCGGCCATAGCCCTCTCCGCGTCGTCCTTCACTCTTTGGTCAGCCGAGCTACAACGAACACACCATGTGTGTTGTTGGGGGATGGAGCGGACAGTTGTGGTGATGATCACGGTGGTGTTGACCCCAACGCCACAGCCATTGGACCGTTGCGGAAACAGCAAATTGCGACAGGGGGGAAACAGCAACGACGAGAGAGCATCGGTCGTGAAACGGCGCAAAAGGGACTGTCGCTAGGGCCCTGCGTTTGGCCTACATATCAACGACGTTATCACAACCCCAGCCCCGCAATCTCCGCCTACGCCACCGCTGCAACTCTCGTCCCCAGAAAACCTGGAGGTAAAACCGCCGTGTGCACCAAACAACTATCTTCTCCCCTTTGGCATGTTGCACCCTCCCTGTTTTCCGCACCAACGGTGGTTGCACCGTCGGGTCAAAGGAGTGGTCCGACACGTAAACCTACAATACAGAGATGTCCACAGCAGGAAACGCTCCTCCTCCTGCTGCTACGGCATGCTCATCATCATCGCAACATCACCCACTTGTATCGGCCCCTCTTGCCGGCGTGCTTCGCCCTCAGGTCCTGGAGCACCCCGAGCTGCTTCCGCGTCTCCGCGCTGATCATTTCCTTCCGAGCGGCGAGCTCCTGCGGGGTAAGCGACACCGGTATCACCACGGGGTCTCCGACCCCCGCTGCTCCCGGCTCTCCTCCCGCTCCCGGTTCGCTGATGAACCACCCGCCAGTCACCGCCGACGCCACCCCTTCCGATATCGTTGATGCTGCTGATTTTCCGGGGCCGGGCATGCCTCCCGTGCCGCCACCGCCGCCGTCACCAGCGGCAGCGGCGGCAGCAGCGGCAGCGGCGTGAAAGAGCTGATGAGCAGGGAAGACGTGCTCGCCGAGGTCGGGATTCATGCCGCCGATGCCGTTGCTGCCGCCGTTTCCGCTCAGCAGTGCGTTGGGGAGCGGAGGGATGTGGACACCGCCATGGAGGACAGCAGTGGGTACGCCGACTGCTGCCGCTGCCGCGGCGGCAGCGGCAGAGGCTGCTGGGGGCGTCGCCGCTGCAAGTTGGATCTGATGCTGCTGCAGCATCACGCCAGCCGGATCGCTAATGCTCGTGAAGGCAGCCCCACGACCAGCAACCTCCTGGAAGATCATCGGTTGGGCGCTCCCGCTGCCGCTCCCGCCCCCACCGCTGGCGCCATCGCCAGGCGGAGCCCGCTGCGGAGGAGGATTTTGCTGCCCATCTGGGTGGGTCATGGACCCATACGGAAAGCCGTTTTCAGACATCCAACGGATTTTCTTCCTCCCTGAAGGGGGGTGGAAAGGACTTCAGGAAGAAGTCCATTCAGAATTATCAGGCCCTTCGGAATGGGTGCCCCATGGGACGTGCCCCATTGTGTTGGACGCGGGCCTTTGTCGCCGTTACACACAGTTATGTATCGTTGTTGTGTCCAGTTTTCCGAGCGTTGGGTGGGGTGGGGGGGTGTGGGGCCCTTGGGGGGGCCCCCCCCCCATCGACAAAATGTTTCATTTTCGGGGGGGGGGGGGGGTCGATAGCGTCGGTTCTCTTCGCTGTTCGGGCCAACGCAAATATTGTCAGTAATTCTTCCGCTTTGCTGTTTGTAACGAGCGCAACAATATACTCCAGATCAGTAAACTACCTGCTACCCATGCGTCTTCTCGAGTGAAAACAACACGTTTAACGACGGTGCCCCTTTCATCCCGGGAGCTTGCGAATACAGGTATTCGCAAGCCTCTAGGCTACAGCAGTACAGCAGTACTGCAATGAAGCGGTAGTGTACAGAGTGGTCAACAGTCGACTTGTCGCTTGAAGTTCTACACGTCGTGGTCTACATGCAACAGCAAAGGACGAAGAGCCAAGTTCATTATTCATCGGTACAAACACACGCTTACGCAGCAACCTCGTAGGAGGGGGGCATCAACCCACGGAACGAAGCTTTGAAAAGAAAACCATCACCACACTGCGGTACCTGCATCACCCAAGATCCGGACGAGCAAAACGAAAAAGCTACGGCAGGAATGTCTCTCGACGTCGTACGGAATAATGCTGGGGTAGTGTACCAAGCAGGCAGCTACAAGGCCTTGGGGATGTTTGAGGCAGCACTCAAGAGCGTGACGATGCGCAGCATGGCGGTTGCGCAGCTGTGGGAGACCGTCAGCCGCGCCGTGGCTGTCGGGGAGGTGCAGCTGGACACAATTCGGTTGGAAGGGCTGCAGGTTACAGATGAGGACGTAGAGGTGCGGCAGCATGCTGCGACAGATGCAGAGGGGGGGCAACAATTTTTGCGCCGAGATGGCGTAGCCAGTCGCTCGACAAAAACTACAGCTGGGCAATACCGTGGTTGACCGTGTAGTGAGTCTCTGAGGGTACTGATATGCGATGCTTTGATAAGGCGCTGCTCTGCATCTGCGTCGCATTCGAGAGTCTGTTCAGCGGTAGTCTGCAGACTAAGGGTATTTCCCAGGGTAGATACGGTTCTTCGTTGCCTGCCCATCCACCCAGGCCACCATAGGTTTCAAAAAGGAGTGTAGGCATCAGTACCGCAGGCTCAGGCAAGCTTACTTTGAACCACGTCCTCAAATTACGGAGATCACGACAAAAACTGTACTGTAGATTCTGGTTTTCCCATGCAATGGAACCTCAGATCTCTGCGTTATATCACGGCTTGCTGTGCTTATGCATATCGACGCTACCGTACAACTTGTTTCCTTTATACGAGTTCGGGGCCGTTTGCATGACACTCTTTCCCAATACCTGGAATGGTCCATAATCTCATTGAATCTTGGACTGAGCTGTCACTGCCCGTCATGGATATGGTCACGAACTCGCAGCCTTGAGACGAAGAAACAACCACCCCACAACCAGACTGTATCGGACGACGTGCAGGTTTGGGAGGAAAACATTCCCCACCCATTTTGACCCCTGTGCAGAAAATAGTAGGCGCTGTCATCTCTAGCGGACTGGCCATTCGGAACATCTCGGTGGCTAGCAACGACATCGGGGACGCCGGTGTAGGGTCGTTGGCCCGACTGCTAGACGACGAGCCGCCTTCATACAGCTCCGTCCTATCCTCGCTGGACTTGAGAGGAAACAGCATCGGTTCGAAAGGATGCCAGGTATCGACGTGCTGTAGGCGTTCATGAAGTTGTAGTGGAGTTTTCTCGTTCTCCGTTTTGTTTGATGTGCGTGACCGTGAATGTAATCGGTTTCTTGCCGGCATTTGCAGCAGCGTGGCGCTTCAAGATAAGGTTGGATATATGCCGAACAGCTTCCGCAAGAAGTTCGAAAACTCTTTCAAAAGTCACACCAGTCTTCTCCTGCCTTTTGGCTGTCCTTGAACCGAGTTCAGAGCCCTCGACCTTGCCCGCCTTATAGTACACAATACGCCTACATGCCGGACAATCGAGCAAAGACACATTGTCATGATTTTGGTGCAAGAAACGTTAGACCCCAACAACGGTGTGCGTTGAAGTGAACGACCGCGGACAACCAAGGAAAGATTAAAGTTCGCCTCCCACCCCGTGCGGTGCAGTTGCTCACGGAACGCCTGCGCCAGAACGCGACCCTGACGTCGTTGGATCTGAGCTCAAACCCTTTGAAAAGCGAAGGGGCGTCGTACATCTCAAAGGTTAGACAGACGACATTGAAAGGGCTGGGCCCATCTTGAGGGCCAGCGCGCTTCAAGTTTGCTGCTGCGATCGATCGCAATTGGTGTTAGGGTTGAAGTCCACGTCCTGTGCATCGTTTGCACGTGAAACTTGTCGCTGATAATTATATCTAAGACGTTTGTCAATCTCAAGAGGTGGGTGCTCCATAAACCTGGACCGAGATATGTTGCAGGGCAGAAGAATTCTACCCTTGAAATCACGAAAAGAACTGCATGCTAACCCCACGTTCTTCGCTATGTTTGTTGCTAGAGGGGCGGCGCTGCTGTTGTTCCTGCAGGCTTGACACTGCATGAAAATATTGACAGACGAATATACAGCAGTTCAAAGCGGACAAGCAAGCCGAGCGTCCTGTCTGCCCCCAACTCCCACCCCCCTACACCAAGTCACGACATCTCTGCCCACCTACCTCCCCTTCCAGATGCTCTTGGACAATTTCACGATCGAGCGGCTGGTCATCAGCAATACGGACATGACCGAGGCAGGGTTCACCGCAGTTCTTGCCGTGCTACGAGAAGGGAACAACACCGTGCGGGAGTTGAGCATTGGGTCACAGCTACTGCGCTCTCGCGAGGTAGGACGGGGGTGGCGAGAAGGCGGATGAAAATGACAGTACACCGGTAGGTTTAGGGAGGCGCAATGGCAGTACCCCAAGAAACATCTCGTCTTGTCACAAACAGGCACCACCAGTGCCCACTCACAAACCCCGGCACGGTCTCGACAACTCTCTCCGTCCTTGTCTCCCCGCCCAACCAACAACGCGGAACGACGCGAAGGAAGTCGCCGCGTGTCACGTGTCGCGAACGCTCGAAACCCCGCCTTACATGCTGCGACTACTGGACCTGTCGGGGTGCGGCATAGGCGACGAGGGGGCGTACGTGTTGCGAGGTGCGCTGACGGGGCACCCGACGATGAGGACGCTAGACCTCTCGCGAAACCGCATAGGCATTACGGGCGGCCAGGTACGTACGAAAGCAGGGGTACCCGATCTACACCGGACAACCCGGCGAGGCTTCGTCGACGAAGAAAATGACGGTAGAGGCAGGCCACCAGCCGTAGCCGCAAAAAGCCACCGCCGTAGCAGCCATTGCCACAACAGCCCCCTCAGCAGTAGTAATAGCAGCTCCTGCTGCAATGCCACGGTTGTTCATTGGTAACAGCGGTGACGGCAGCGCTTCCGTGCGCAGTTCAGCAACCGTTGTGCATCCTGTACTACTTCGGTGTTGCTTCAAGGTCGGACATGCCCTAGACGTCTTCCCACCGTTGCACTAGGGGCGACGAACGTGCCAAGAACACTCGGTTGACTTGCCGACACGTAGCATGCCGACACCAACCCAACCTTTGGCGGCACCAATCTATGCGAGCAAACACATATGCCCTGATTCCACGACTACCCCCGTTCGCAAGGGCTTACCCCGCCACCGTACACCTTTGTACAGCAGCACACGCGTACGCTGAGAACACTCCTACTTCTTCTCTCACGGCGACGCCCCCCCCCCCGCCCCACCTCACAAATATCGTGAACTATTGCCCCTATTTACGATCAACACCATTGAACTAATCGGGATCGCGACGGCATGAACCGCAACCAAAAACAAGTCAGCGAAGACGGGATGTGGTGGTCTGTGAGCCTTTCATGCCACAACGAACCCTTTCGTTAACACACAGGCGCTCGCTAGCCTCTTGGTGGGGGATTCGTCGCTGTCCAGTCTATTCCTCCGGGCGAACATGATAGGTGACGAGGGGGCTAGGGCGTTCAAGATCGTCCTTCTGCACAGCCAGACGCTAACCACGTGAGAAGAAGCAAGGGCTTGTGGACTCTGTCGTTGTCGAGCTGCGGTTGCGAGCGTTCACTACATATATCGGGCGCGGGTGAGAGAAAGAGTCTCGTAACCCGCCTCTAGAAACCAGCTGTCGCGGTCAGGGATAAGCTACTCGGAAATGCCTCGGAAGTTCATGTGGCACCGAAGCGTTTCGGCAACAGCGGCGCTTGGAATAAACTTTTTCATGAAGCCTACCGCCGAGTCACCAGTAAATCCATGGATATTTTGAGAGTCGTGTGCAGAACGAACGAACGGACGCAATCCGTGCTCTCGAGGATGATCGCTTGTGAAGCAATATTTATTGCTTATCACCGTTTCCTACCTCGCCCGAATGTAATAAAACAACGAAAAAAACGCAGCCTTGATCTGCGCAGCAACGACATCCACGATCCGGGCCTGGACGCTCTCGCGGAAGGGATGGAGTGCAACGCCTCCGTTGAACGCCTTTTCGTGTGGGGGAACCACTTCGGACAGGTCGGTTGTGCGGTACGATTTTAAGACCCAGCTTGTGCCTTGTCAGCTGCCGCTTGCCTCGGCATACTTCTGATTTCGGGTATAGTTGTTTTCGGTCTCAGGAGAGGGCAAACTCAAGCGATACCTGCTACTACACAATTTGGAACGAATTTGGTTGACGCGTACGCTGTATTGCCTCAGTCGCTACTCTAAGCGTGCGTTCGAAGATACCACCAAATGGGATTTAAAGACGCGCCATCCCGTTGGAGAGCTCAAGTGTCAAGACCGGGCTATCGAACCAACAAAAAAACAAAATATGACAATAGTACTGCTGTGGTGTTTGAATGATCCGCTGCTGAGCCTCTTCGCTTGGAGCGGGGCAGGCATGGAGCGAGGCGGTCCCAGAACCTTGAAGAACCATAGAGCAGCAGAAAACTTGGCGGTTGCGCCCGTACAACGCACGGAGGTCGCGCCACCTTCCGCGTTCACTCTGCTATGTAAACTCGTCTGTGGCTTATTGTCCACAAAACCACCAGCATTCATTCCATGCACAGCGGGGGTGGCTGACTACTGTTGTGTGACGCATTGTTTCTCGCCGGGGAATCGATCGCACCGACAGGCATCTCTGAAGCGCTTCGGGGGCCTGGGCGGGGGACGGTTCGCCCTCGTGGGCGTCTTCCTCGACGTGCAGCCATTCGTCGTGGATGGGGTCTACCACGCGGCCGAAAAGTTCGAGTGACTTTATTTCCATTACGTTTATAAATGTACGCGGAACATCTATCCGTGGGGGGCCGGCCCACCCAGAGGACGTTGCGGCTTTTAAAACAACCGCTTTTGCCGAAAAAGTGGGTGGGAATGGCTGCCTGTGGCGGGGCGTTGGTGAATCAAGTGCGGAGGCGATCGTCGGTGGACTGAGAGGTTCGGTAGCAACAATAAATCGCAAGCACATGTCTTCTCGCGCGCTCTTCTTCGTACAGCTGGATGGCTTTTCTTCCCTGGGTGTTGCGCGGGAAATCCTACGATCGGAGGCCGTTAAACGACTTGAGATTTACGCAAGACGTTGCGAAAAGACGCACGCGCTATCCAAGAACCCAACGGGGGAAAACCACGCTAGCCCGCACCATCATCTTTGGAGAAAGAAAATGGAACGAACTGTACGCGGGGATGCCATAACCTACAGGCACCCAAAGGGTACCCCGACGGAGTGGCAAAAGGGGGTCTCATAGAGGAAGAGCTCGATATACCGCGGGAAAAAGTTATTCTTTCAAACATTTGTACATTTACGCCATGCCCTTTATCAACACACCACGCGCACCCCACCCCACGCTGCGCTCTGTTCGCACATCCAAGCCCCGCTCGAGGGGCCAAACTCCAACCCGTTTCCCTCTTCACACCCATCATGCCAGTACACCTGGCGCGAACAAACTGCGTGAGCTACCGCCGGCCGTAAAGAAGAAAAACCAAATAGCACCCGAACGACAACAGCAAAAGAAAAAAACACAACTTTCTGTTAATGCAGAACGCGCCGGCACTTAAGAACCTCTATTGTAGTTTCGACCGAGGCTGGGGCTGTTACTGTATTCCTAGGGTCATGCTGTACGAATGGTCGCCATATATATAGGTTTTAGTGTAGGGGTTCTCAACTAACCGAGCTCACAGCAGTTGGTGCTCAAGTTCGTAGATTTTTGAGTTTTATCTACAGCTACAACAAACAATTCGTCAACTGCCAAGTCTCAAGCGCGGGTGCGAACTGTACAACTGCACCGCCCACAAGACGTTTTCTTACATCACAGCGGCGGTCGCCGTGGCGGAAGGGCGAGGATGAAGTCCAGCACGGCGTCGGAGGCGCGCTTGCCAGGCTCCCCGAAGGAAACGATGGTCGACAGGTGGTCTTCTCCTTCGAGGCGGACGTGGCTGACGCCCCCACGGACGCTTCTTCTGCCGGGACCACGGCCTTCGCTGGGCTCTTCTTCTTCGTTGCTTCCCGCCCCGCTGTTACGCACCCCCTTCGCCGCCCGCGGCACCCCTCCCCCCCCGGCACCCATAACCCCAACAAGTTCTTCTCCTCCCCGTGCTTCTTCTTCTTCTTCTAATCCTCCCGAAGCTTCTCTATTGCCTCCTCCTCCTCCTTCTCCTCCGCTGCTGCTGCCTTCGCTGCCGGCCCCGCCGGCGATATCTACCGCTGCTGCTGCCGTTGCTGCTGCTGTTGCTGCCATGGTTGACGTGCGCCGAGCGAGACCGCTGGAGGAGGAGAGGGCGGCCACCAGCGCCTCCGCGTCGTCCTTCAGGTGAAAGTCCGAGGCGGCGGTGAGCAGAAGCACCGGCGTAACCAGCAGCGGGCAACACGAGCTGCTGCTCGTGCCGCCGCCGCCGCCGCCGCCGGTGTCGCTCTTGGCCGAGGGTGCCCCACCCCCGCCCCCTTCCGTCGCCGCCGCCGCGGCTCCAGCTCTACCGGCGGACGCATCAGCGCGACCATCATTACCGCCGCCGCCGCTGCTTCCACCGCCGCGAATTTCCAGAGCCGCTCGGACGCGGTGTACGGGAGAGGCGGCGTGCCACGCTCGCCGGTCGTTCCCGAAGGCCGCCCTCGCGAGAACGCCTCCGACGACGTTGCCCGCCATTCGCGGGATGTCGTAGACCCCGCTGATCCCCACAAATCCGGACACTACCTGCGCCGGTCGTCTTGATGATGATGGTGGTGGCGGCGGCTCCGGTGGCGTGGAACCGTCGCCATCAGCAGCAGCTGCGGCAGCAGGGGCCGAGCAAGCGGAGGGTTTTGTGCCGCTTGGGGGGGTACTAGTAGAAGTAGCGCCGCCCCCGGGCGGGGCGGCTCGGGGGGTGCGGGCGAGGACGCCCGCTTCTTCCAGCCAGCGGCCGTCGGCAAGACTCAGGGCGGCTAGGTGCGCCCCCGCGCTGTGCCCGACGAGAACAAGGTCGTCGCCGTCCCCTCCGTACCGCGAGGCGTTGTCGCGCGCCCAGCGTATGGCTCCTGAAAACAAAGAGAGAGGTTGACGACGGACGTTGCCGATATGATGTGTGCGTGTGGCACATCTCTCGAGAGAACGTACGCGTGGGGGCACAGGATGGCGCGTCTCCAAGCCCTCTATAAACACATCAAGCATTAAACATGTATCAATGAACTATTACAACAGTTGACATGTCGAGCTACCCCTTTTGGTACATACAAGCACAAGCAAAAACACCCAGCGGAAAGCAAGCAAAATGCTGACATGTTCGCGCGGAGAGCAATGAACAAAACAAACATCAGGGTTGGGTTCAGCAGGAAGCTCATATTGCCCCCGCTCCTCCGGCACAATTCTGTGGCATTTTGCAGCCCGTTTAACCTCCTACGCTGCACGTAGGGTAGTACGCTCATTCCTTCCATGATGATTGTTTTGGTCGGCGTGTGTGTGTGTGTACTTCCGCCTCTCCACCACCACGAGTTCGCCGCCACACATCCATCCGCAGATGAAACTTATATCTGAGTCGATGTGCCAGCCATGGCGCTTTCAACCATGTTGGATCGGTCGCGTTCTGAGCATGACTCGTATCTCGCATGCCTCACAACATACCGATTGCTTTCCCAACGGAAACGTGCCGTGCGCCAGCCATTGTTTCAGGCGGGAAGCGTTAATGGTTTGTATCTTACGGTTGGATCGGAAATGAATTCCTGAGGAGGAAATAGTCCACGAAGGGGTCCCAGTTCCCGTCAGACCAGGGTACACTTCCGAAAATCAGGGGACAATAAAAAGAGAAAAAGTAGCCACGGCAGGGCTGTTTGGGACACGGCAGGGTGAAGGTGGACGTTGACCAATCAGCTGCGCTCGTTTGAGCTGTCAAATACTTCGAAGTAGTATATACCCAGCTGAGGGACCGTCTTCGCGAGGATATTAAATATCCACCTATGAAACATAGAGGGGGGTTTTGTATATCCCTACCACTACCCTAACCCCCACCCCGTACCCCCTACATGAACCAGGCTCAATATCCGCGCGACGGCTACTGCGGACAGTTGAGTCGCTCTTTGACCCAGACGGTATACGCTTTGGTGTGGTGTTCCCCACCCCCCCCAAACAAAACTCACGGGCGACGTCTCTGACTTGCTCCGGGTGCTGAACCTCCGGCGCCAGTCGGTATGACATCACGAGCCCCACCAAGCCTTTGGCGGCGAACGCGCGACCGACGTTGCCGTAAAACTGGTCGGGTACGGCGGGATGCCGTCGGTCTCCTCGCTGCCAGGACCTTCAAAAGCAACATGAGAGGAACGACAACAAAAACATCAGCCTCGCGCGCCGACATAAGTATCGGGAGGAGAGGGACGTTGATGCCCAGCCAGAACGGCGGGAAAAGAAAGTCGAACGCCGGAAGAAACAATCGTGTCGGGTGTGAAGTGCTCACACCCACCCTTGATTTGCCACATAATAATGAAATCGCACGTAAACGCTTATTTTTGTCTTGGAACCTGCCGAGCTCGAATCGGACTACTTCTGTAAGAGTAAAAAAAGAGGGCTGGTGTTCCAGGGCGTACATACAATCTGATACTCGTGTAGCATTTGTGTCTGGTAAACTAGGGGGAGCGATTGGCCCCCCGCCCCCCAGTGGGGCGGGCGGCCAGTATGCGTGGGATGGGTGCGGCGGTTTGATTCGCAGAGGAAGTAGAGGCGGTGATGACATCGGTACGAAAGAAGGGTGAAAGTCTCAGACGATGTGAGGTCCACACGTACATCTGCTGCGTAGATAATCGGCGGTCTAAAAAATAAAAAAAATGAAACCGGAAGGAACTTTCGTGGAAAGGTCGATGCCCGATCACCAAACGCAAAGCGAACGGAAGACGGGGGTGGGAAATTTCGTGAGGAGGGAATGCATGCATTGGATGAAATCGAACGTGACATCCATTCCGTCATAACGACTTGAGGTGTTGTCACCTCATATGTCTGGAAAATAGCTTTCCTTTTTTTTCTCACCCGCCATGAACAAACAGACACGTCCGCGACCGAGGCCTGGGGAACGGGGCCGACGGTATGTACACGTCCAGTCGGTGTTTCTCCTCGCAGGCGTCGTCGCCCTCGTAGTAGGGCACATCCAAAAACGCCAGGGGTGGTGGTGGTGGTGGCGGGGGCGGCGGCGGGCTCTCCTCCTCGGGAATGCCGCTACCATCGCCGCCTCCGCCGCCTAATATTAGACAAACAAGAGAACGCGATATATGATCGTTGTCGTGCTGGGGAACGAAAACGTGAGCGAGTCTCTGAAAACAAGCGATTCGCGCGGTGGCATCAATTACAGTAGTCCAATGTTTTGCAATCAACCGGATCGTCTCGGATGTGGCATGCGGGTGGGTTCTGCTACCGTTTCGAAATGTGCGTGCCTAATTTTCTAATTTTCGTGTGTTTTGGTCGCAACTTTTTTCGATCGGAAGACTTGAGCGGCAGGTGAGAACCGATAGCAGTCCGAAAGGGTTCGCGCATATTTGTGCACAAGGCAGCACAAGGCAGTGTTCGTGAAGGCCGTCAAAAATGCGGCGCAATTTTGTTCCCAAAGAGCAAGGCGACCCACCGCCGCCGTTTTCGCTGCATGCAATACATGAACGAGGCTAGCGTGGACCGAACTGCTTGCAAATGTTGGGAAGGTGCTGAGACCAGCAGTTCATTATTGCGATGCATGAGTATGCAGCGCTGCTGCTGCTGCAGACAACTTTGGTAACACATGGGACCATATGGTTTACTGCTGCTGCTGCTGTAAAGCCGAAGATGTTTCGCACAGGGCTTGCTGAAACCTGCGCGTCGCGGGATCTGTAACCATCAGGTACATGAGACATGCTGTGGCAGGTTTTGACGTGCTGTCTTGGTCGACGGTCCTACACAACGTAGACAGCAGCGGCAGGTCTATAGTCGGCAGGGAGGGTCTCACAGCCGTGGTACTTCTTGTAACCAATGCTCAATCTTACTTGAAGAAGAACGAGCAAACAGGCGTTGCTGTGGGCCCCTGGTGCGTGACGCAACGCCAGATACGATGCCTGAGCGTAGGCCTCTCCTCATCGCCAACGACAGCAGTACAAATAACCGAAAGCACAAGTACACATCACCGTCCACACTACTTTCTTCATAGGAGGGGTTGTCGAGGCGTGATGGGCCCGGGGACGGGGGATATACGTTCCCCTCTTATCTCCCCCCCCCCGGGGAGGGAGAGACCCCCCCCGTCTCGCTGCTCCTCTCGGCCTAGCCGTATGCTACACCCAACGTCAAGAGGTAGATGTACATGATGATGTTTGGTCGATGGGTATGGACACTCTGTCCTTGTCATCCCCCTTCATGAACAGATGTGTACCGATGTCTGAGGTGTAACAGCTAGAAGACTAGACAGATCTACCGAGATTTTCGGTAAGGTATACATACTACCTGGTACTGCTGTATGTAGAAACAAGCCTGTCGTACCGAGGCGCTCGGTAGGATACGTACCAGTGGTATATTCCGAAGCTATGCCTCGGTACGTACCTTGCCGAACGCACCCTGAGGCAATTTCTGTGGCTCGATCGCGGTGTTCTATTTTCCACAGCAAATAGATATATCATTCGAGTCTTTGTGCCGTGTTTTTCTGCACGGCGTTCAGATTCAACTTCAGTACTACTTAGAGAAGAGTCCGTGACGTTCGACCACTTTATTTATTACAATAGAGTTTTGGCGGCCACATTCAAGCATTTACTATCACTATTGTTGCGACTCTCTATGGAGAGTCGGGGTGACAACGGCACGACTGTGCACGCGCACACGCGCAGTAGAGGCGCAATCGAACAAAACGTCACCGCTCACCCAATCTTGGAAATGTTCCGCCAACAACGGCAGCGGGGAAGCGGCGGCGGCGACAAAAGCGGCGGATGCAATGAAAACGCTGGTCCACGGGTGTGTCCGCCGGCACATCCAATGGGCAACGTACGTCCGAGGAAGAAGAAGGATCATTCGCCAAAACCCCCGTCCCCGTAACCTGGAGGCGCAACTTCATGAATAATTAAGCACACGTGGGGCGGGGTTCCCGAGTGCTCCAGTCGCAAACGCTTGGCGGGTTCGACCGTGCGCGCGCGCAGAAGCGTGCCAGCCGCGGCAAGTGCTTTGCCCGAGAGGTTCAAACCAGGCCACCGAGAAGGGGATATCATGGACGAACAACGTGGACGGTGCCTCCTCCGTCGGCGGCGCATCGGTGTGAGGCAGCAGTGGACTGTACGGTTGCGAGGTACCGGGGGACAGTGAGCGAGAGCTACTTCTGCTGTGATCGGATCCTCTTGTGACATCGGTATCGGTCACGGCTGCCGACCAGGGCCCAAGAAAGACGTCGGCAACGGATGCGCGGTCAAACTCATCGACACCCCGCTGCTGTTGAACAGGTTCGGTGCGGTATCCTCTATGTCCGTCGCGATGGCGTCTATGGAAGCGGGCATCCTAAACAGTGAAAGATTGTCAATGGAAGCTCCTACTCGCATGATATACTTCCATGGAAGCTAGGGGGATACAGCTTCCATAGTCCCTGACGACGACTTCCATGGACGCTGACAAAGGCGAACGACTTCCATGGAAGCTGTCTTCGAAAGATTCCATGGAAGTCGCTCATCTTGACTTTCATGGAAGCTGGACTCGGGAGATACGCTTCTACTTCTATGGAAGCTGCAACACCTTTGGTTTCTTTGGAAGCTCACAAAACGACTTCCATGAAAGTTAGTCGACTTCCACTAGCGTCCCATGGAAGTCGCTCGTGAACCTCCCTAAACTTCCATGAAAGTCACTTGGCGATCTTCCACGGAAGTCACTCCCACCCGGCTTCCATGGAAGTTGCGTCCACCTCCATGGAAGTAACACACATTTTCAAATAATGTAGGAGATCGCGGGGGGGGAGGGGGGGAGTCCCTAGGTGTGCGGGATAACTTTTTTCGGGCACCCTTGCTGTGACTACGAGTATGATATTGCATAATCGGGTGCTCTGTTTATGTACATGAGTGGTCATTGCTGCACACGCACGTTCTGTTTGCGCGACTCACGGCAGAGAGAGCTCGCACCAACTCAAGAATAATTTAGATCATACCTTTTCGGCAACAATCAACAATACCTCTTCTTCGAGAACCGATACGGGACCATATCGTCAACATCCACAAGCCTACATCCCCAAGACGCTGTTCCCGCCTTTTCAGCCCACTTCCTATGCCCCAGTGCAGATATCGTCTTCTCCGGACTATTCCTTGCCTCAAACATGTCTCTGTACCTTCCTTCTATTTTACCTAGCTCAGTCATATACACTTCTTCTTCTACTCCTTACAGTAAAACGGACAATCAGCAACTACAAGAACCCGGTCTTCTCTCACCGGGCTCCGTGTACTTCCCCATATCTTGGGCATATCTTCGTCTGTGTTCTCGAAGGCAAATCAATGTCCCCAGTCCTAAGTTTGACCTTCGACTTCGTCCCTGCATCCATCGGTCCATGTAGATAGGTACTTGAGAAGGTGTACCGATTCTGCTGGGAAAAAGTCAATCGACGGATACTGTAACCTGCGAATCGGGCCCTCCTTAGTAACACTCTCCACCCGCAGAATTTACCAGCAATTTACCGTCACAACTGGGAATCCATTGGGGCCAGGACGGGTAATTCGATACAACTGTCACAGATTATTGTTAGGATCGACTCCAAGAAGGTGCTCGTAGATCTAACACACATTGCATATGGAAAAACGTCCCAAGTCAGTAGAAACGTGTGTAGAAAAGGAGATTGCAAGGAGATTGCAAGGACCTTATTCTTGGGTTCTTTGGTTTGATCCTATTCTTCTCTCTCAGCAAAAGAAACAGACACACCGCCTCCTTGAACCTCTCTCCGCCTACCGTTTCAGCAGTCTCAGCTTCGTCAACCTCGGACACCTTCCGTACAAATTTTGCACTCGGTGGGTTGCGTGAGACTCGTGAAAGGGAGAGGTTGTCACGACAAGTCCGCGGACAGCAGTCCGTTTCAAGTAGACACACCCTACCAAAGGATACACTCTCTCGGGCCTACAGAAAGTCCAACTAAGTGTAAGTAGACAAAACTACAGTCAAACCGCAACGCTAGGAATCGTTGGAAGTTCGGCAACTCAATCTAGCGAAAGTGCCAATATGCCGACGCTAGCAACTCCAACCTACTCCGCTACTCTTTCGCTGCTTCTTCGAGACCGTGGAAACAAGAACAACATGGAATAGAGTAGAAGATAGCTCGGGTGACAGAGAAGTTTAATGACCAGGACCCAAGTAGCGCGACACACCAGGTTGAAATTACTTGCCCTTGAGCTCCCGGTATTCAACAATTGCTGTAGGGGAGCGATCGGTACACGCGACCAGCGGCCTCTCCCACTGGGATTCCCAGCACCCCCAGTTCCCCGCATTTCACCAATTACTGTACGGGAACAATCGGTACGCGATGAGCGGCCTCTCCCACTGGGACTCCCCCGTCACCGTGTTCTCGTAGAACACCTCGCCGGGCCCGGCCCCGGCCCGCTTCACGTACACCTGGGCCAGCCGGCGCCTCGCCTCCACCCTCGCCGACCTCTGCCGCCACGCGAGCTGGATGGTGGTGGCGGCCCGGTGGGCCCCTTCCTCCCCCCCCGGGATGGAGTTGAAGTCGATCACGCAGGCCATGGCCGTGCTCAGGCCGTTGCGGAAGTCGGCCAGGCGGACCTCCGGCGGGACCCAGTCATCCTCGATGGACATGAACTCTCGTTCTTCCTGTTGTTTTGTCGGCGGGGGGGGGGGCAGGGACCACAGTTTTGTTCCGTTGTGTGTGTCTTTTGGTGTTTTTTCTTATCGGGTATATTGCTCGGTTCAGGAACATTGTCGTGAATCCCACCAAAGAACAACGAAAGGAAGTCGATTCGTCTGCACTTTTAGTTATCCTCTGTGGTTGGCTTCAAAGTACCTGGTGTACCCCTGCAGCAAGATAGAACTTCGGTACACTTATTTCGACAAACAACAAAAGTATTTAGTAGAACCAGGAGGAGGGGGCGAAGAGCAGCTGAACACACAAGAACCAATGCCGGTAAAATGAATGAATGCCCGCCCACACCGTGTGCGTTCATCATCGTGCCAGGCATTGTCGTGGTTGTGATGAGTGTACGCATGGCACTGAGTATGACACAAAGAAATGTGAAAGCACGCACTCACCCCCTCCGAGATAAGAGCATCAATCTCCAGATCGAGCAGGTTCTCCAGCAAGGGGGGCTCCACGACCCAAACCGCCTCGACCGTGGCCGCTTCCGCGACCATGTCCTCCTCCCGGGCCACCTCCAACTGCAACAAGAGAAGGAGACGGGGGGGGGGGGTGTACTCATAGTCGTGCATGCCGTAGTCGTTTGACCATTGACCTCGCATCCCTACAAAGCCGGGACGGAGCACGCCGGGTTCTCACCGGACCAGGATCTCACATCACCAAGCGCGAAGCGCCGTGAGGTATTTGACGAGTCGCATGAAGGGTGAGCTGCATCCTGCTGAGGGTGTTCGGCATCTTGTGCTTACTTCCTTGCGTACCGATGGTACAGCTGCGTATGACTTAATTTATTTTCTGGTGCTTTCACTTCCAGAGACAGTTGTAAGCACTGTGTAACTGCCTCGAGGAAGCTTGACCATTTTAACACAACGTGGTGCGATCATCCCCCGTTGCGCGGAGTGAGGGTTCTCGACCCCGCACAACATGATCTACTCGACCACCATTATGGTTACCGCCAAAAAAAAAAAACGAGGTAAAAAAAAAAAAACGGTAACCTGGTTGCCGAGTTCACGAAATGAATTGGCTTGTTTTACAACGTTGCCAAGCGACGAAAACCCAATCCCGATGGCAAACACCGAGTGGGAGGCTTGTTTTACAACGTCGTTGCCAAGCGACGAAAACCCAAACCCCGATGGCAAACACCGGGGGGGGGCGGCTTGTTTTACAACGTCGTTGCCAAGCGACGAAAACCCAAACCCCGAAGGCTTGTGCTTACTCCCTTGCGTACGGATGAGAGCTGCGTATGATTTAATTTATTTTCTGGTGCGTTCACTTCCAGAGACAGCTATAAGCTCTGTGTAACTGCCTCGAGGATGCTTTACCATTTTAACACAACGTGGTGCGATAATCCCCCTCGCGCGGAGTGAGGGTTCTCGACCCCGCACAACATGATCTACTCGACCACCATTATGGTTGCCGCAAAAAGAAAAGAAACAGAGGTAAAAAAAATAGAAGCGGTAACCTGGTTGCCGAGTTCACGAAGTGAATTGGTTTGTTTTACAACGTCTTTGCCAAGCGACGAAACCCAACCCCGATGGCAAACACCGAGGGGGGGGGAGGGGGGGGGGACAAACGGGGGGGGGGGGGCTTATTCTGAGCCTCACACAGCTGTCA